CCCGAACAGGTAGCCAATTCCCGCACAGGACTGCACCCACATTGCCGCCACAAAAACCAGCCATCTGTTGTTGAAGAAGGACCGCAGCTTCTCCTGCACCCGACCCATCACACAGAAAAGTGATAACTTTCGACGATTTGGAAAAAAAAAAGAGTGATTTTATTTTGTTGGGTTTATTTTTTACGAGAAGATGAGGAAGAAGAAGAAGAAGAAGATATGTATTACAGTGATGAGTGTCGTAGGCAGGCGGGTGGATGATGGTGATGTGCTGGATTTCGATTCGACACCCGGTGACAGATTTCTGATTTTTAGTATAATGTTATGGATTTTTATATTTTTAGTACAATATTTTATAATATTTTTAACGTAAACGTATTGATTATTATATTTCATATCATCATTTCTATCATAAAAGAAGAATAATTTATAAAGGGTTTCATTTTTAACATAATATCCTTACCATTTTTAACGTTGATTTGGTCAGATTATTTGGTATAAATGGAGAATATTACCATTTATTTGTTCAAAGTGATTTTGATTCATTTGAATGATTCATAAAAGTTAAATTGGATTCTTCAAACACAAAAACCGACCTAATGATTTCAAATTACAATCGTGTTCTTGATAAAAAGCTTGTCATGTTTCATTTTTTTTGCTTTACTTTTGTGAAAAAGGTTTTAAAAAGTAAGGATATTATCCCCTTTATTTTGGTCCGAAAAACAAAGGGTGGTGCTATCATATATTTGATTTTATTTTTTACACATTTTTTTTAATTATCGATTGTTAAATTAAATAAATTTTGAAAGATAAAAAACAACAATTAAAATTGATTGTACAAAAAAAATTATGTGTAAATAGCACCACCTAAAACGAAAGATATGCCTTGTGTGAAAGTGTGAGTGAAGTAGGTTGTCATTTTAACATTCATTGCATAAAGTAGTGGTATGTAACATGTCGTAAGTGGACTCTAACTTATATAAATGTGGCAAAGGTAAACGACATAGATTATGTGGTCTGCTCTTTGTTTTTCCAATCGATGAATCATGTCGTTTTCTGAATAATTAATGTAAGGACTCCAATTAATATTTTGCATCACCATGACTAGCAATATACTAATCTTGAAGTAATTGGAAATAATAATTTGCAGATCTTCTTATTAAGGAGTTGTCGTTTTCCTTTGTATCAATCCAAAATGTGCCACGTTTTGCTGGATTCTTTTATTTGATGGATTTGGACCATCTCCTGAGCAGAGGGTCTGAATGACCAATCAACACAAACAGTTGGATTAAAATTCAACGGTTACAAACAAGAGAACCTTCTAAAAGTTATAATAATTATAGCCATTGAATTTTGATCTAACGATCCGTGTTGCTTGGTCAACAGGATTCGTTTATTTTCTTAATAAATAAATAGAAATTCTCAGAAAAGCAAAAGAAACGTAGAGTTGGCACGTGTAAGATAAAACGTCTAGGGCTTTCATGACATCAATGTCGATATGTCCGAGTGGTTAAGGAGACAGACTTGAAATCTGTTGGGCTTCGCCCGCGCAGGTTCGAACCCTGCTGTCGACGTCTTTTACAATATTCCATTTTTTTCCCCCACTTTCAAAAGGGTCTTTTCCTTACTGGATTCTGCAGTTCCACGGCCCACATCCATTTGTTCAGTTGGGTTTGTCGCCTTTGAATATTTGGGCTCGGCTGATCTAATACTCCATTTTCTTCGTTTATTAATAGAAAATAAAAGTGACCTAGTATTTACTTCCGGACGGAGCTACTCTAAGTTCACTAAACATCCACATGCAATCCTACATGGCTAGGTAATACATCATATTCAATAGAAAACTTTAACGAAAAGTTCCCGGTACTGTTTACTTTAACAAAAAAATCATATTTTTACATTAAAATGTCAATCCTGATACTATTCATTTTACCCTTTATTTTGTCCTTATCTTTAAAACTCAAAGTTTTCAAGCATTTTTCATTAGTTTTCCTTATTTAATAATAGGATGAAGTGCTTATTTAGTAGTCTCTGAACTATTACTTCAATTAAAGTTAGGTTTATGAATTATTATTTTTTTGTAAAATAAGTCCATAAATTAATTAAAATTTGCTAATTTCATCCCTACTATTATATTCAAAGCTATTTTATCTAATTTTTAGTCAACTCAAGTCACTTGACATACTTTAAAGTGTAATACCGTTATTTTCTTGCCTATAAACCTTTAACATTTTATATAGGTTGCGAATCTAACGTTTAATTTACCCTCCTAAGTTAACTTACATTAATTATTATGGAAAACTACCAATTTACCCTCCAAAGTTAACTATATGCACTATTTCTTTATGAAAAACTATCAATCTACCCTTCAATGTGTATCACATGCAAGTAACGTGACTTAAATTGACGAAAAATTAAATATAGTAGCTTCGAGTATAGTATTAGGGATGTAATTGGTAGATTTTTATAATTCAATGACTAATTTTTTCTAGAGAAAAAATAATAATTTAGGGACCTAATTTTCATTGAGGTGATAATTCAGGGACTAAATTGGCAATTCACCCTTAATAATATTGGTGGCTTGTCTTTGGTAGTCTAGACTATCGAGTAGTCTTATTTTTAACTATATTTGTTAAGTTTAATGTTAGTATATTGCTTGGAGATACCCCCATTCAATATAATTTTTTTGGTTTGTTCCTATATACATGTTAATTTCGACTTCTAAATAAACAAATTCAATATCAAATTATTACTGACTCATTGTATAAAAAAAGATAACGAAGTATATCAATTTCATGAAAAGCTAGTGAACAAAAGTCTTTTGGTTAAATACCCAAATGATCCCTTAGAGCAACTCTAGTGTAACATCCCACATCGTCCAAGGATGAGGATCCTGTAAGCCTTATATGCATATTTTCATCTCTACCTAGCACGAGACCTTTTGGGAACTCACTGGTTTCGGGTTCCATCGGAATTTCGAAATTAAGTTAGTTCACGCGAGAGCAATCCCAGGATGGGTGATCCACTAGGAAGTTATCGTGTGAGTTCCCAGAAACAAAATCGTGAGGGCGTGGCCGGGGCCCAAAGCGGACAATATTGTGCTACGGTGGAGTCGAGCCCGGGATACGGTAGGGGCCCAGGTCGGGATGTGACAATTTGATATCAGAGCCAATCCCTGGTCGGTAGTGTGCCGACAAGGACGTCGGGCCCCTAAGGGGGGTGGATTGTAACATCCCACATCGCCCAGAGGTGAGGATCTTATAAGCTTTATATATATATATATTCTCATCTCTATTTAGCACGAGGCCTTTTGAGAACTCCCTGGCTTCGGGTTCCATCGAAACTCCGAAATTAAGCGAGTTTGCGCGAGAACAATCCCAAGATAGGTGACCCATTAGGAAGTTCTCATGTGAGTTTCTAAAAACAAAATCGTGAGGGTGTGGTCGGGGCCCAAAGCGGACAATATCGTGTTACGGTGGAGTCGAGCCCTGGATGCGGTGGGAGCCCGGGCTGGGATGTGACATCAAGCGTGTGCTGGAGCCTAAGGGACAGGGCCACGAACAGTGGCAGAGAGCCCGAGCAAGCAAGCTCAGCGTGTGCTGGTGAAGGAGCTTGAGCAGGCCCAAGGGAGAGTCCCGACACGAGTTGTCAGCCCGAGAGCCTAAAGGCAATGTGATGTGGGTTGACGTCAGGGCGACGTCAACCACAATATAAAATTAATAAAAAATTTAAAAATTAATAAAAAAATTAAAAAATGTAAAACCCAGCAAGCTTTAACTTGGCCGTAGCACCCCAGTCCCTCCTCCGCCACAGCTGCCGCCCCACCCCACACCATCTTCACCTCCACGCACTCACGATCCACCTCTTTCCACTCGAGCGCCCAGATCACATGATTTGGGATTTGTTTTTAAGAGAGAGAGAGAGAGAGAGAGAGAGAGAGAGATTTTAACTAAGGAGTTGGCGATCATTTACCTACTTAACTAAGGAAAAACTGTGAATTTTTTCACGGATCGGCTATTGATATTGTAAGAGTATGAGGCTCTGCCTCCGGAGCCGGAGCTCAAGTGAGAGAGAGCTGCCGAGCTTGAAAAAGAAAGAAAAAAAAACACATAGATTTTGGAATGGTGTTTGACACCATGTGAAAAGAAGAAGAAAAAAATAATAAAAAAAAGGTTTTGGAATGGTGCATCGACACCATGTGAAAAAAACAAAGATTTTGGAATGGTGTGCTGCACTATGTGAAAATAAAAATAAATAAATAAATAAATAAATTTTTAATAGAAAGTGGTACAACAAAACCAATTAAAAATCATATCCGAAATTATAAATAAAATTATTTTGTATTATTTTTAAAAAATAATACTAATATTTTATTGTTTATTGTCAGGGCTATTCAGTGCAGGGATAAAGATGCAAAAGACAGTTACTGTTTATTAAAGACAGTTATTGTTCACTAGATGAATTAAATAGTGAATAGCCCGTAGGGCCTTATCAATGGTAGAACTGCTCTTAAGCAACTGAAAAGTGTCTTTTGAGATCCAAATGCTCCACCGAAATCAATATTATAATTTGATTGAAAGCAAGGGAGCCAATAATTAATAGGATTATCAGTAAAGGAAAAGGAAAAACAGCAACTTTTATACCATAATAATGCTTCAGTGACAAGAAAGCTCCCTACCATGAATCTTCTTATCTTGATTTCTTATGGTTCCTGAAAACATTAGAAGTCTAGTCAAATTAATGAGTGATTATTACATGTTACTGACTGTATATTTACGTGTTTATTGTTTTGATCGCATAACGCAAGCGATATAAGTACGTAATCGTAGAATATGTCAGATTTTTTTTGTAAATGGGCATCATTTGCCCAATTCACCATCTATAGCAAAAGTAGAGTTGAGTAGCATTCTTGTAGGGTTGAGTGTCATGTGGGAAGCTTCCTTTATTTAGGATGCATGTGATGTGAAGTGTAAACTACCAAACTACATGGAAATGTGAATGGGGGAAATTGGAATAGCTTGATACTCTAACCTTACACTTCACTTTTTTTCCCTAGTCATCAATCCCTTGTCTCTTCCTCCCAAATGCTCAACTTTATAATCATGCACACCTTCCATCTTTCTTTCCCTCGTACGACCCAATCCTTCTCCCACTCATTATATTAGCAGATCACAGCTAAACACGTCTGTTAAGTTTTGGGAGAGATCAAGAGATCGAGATTTCTTCGATATGTCGGATTGGGGGCCGGTTTTCATAGCAGTGGTGCTGTTCATATTGCTGACACCAGGACTGCTGATTCAGATGCCGGGAAAGAGCCGGTTCGTGGAGTTCGGAAACTTTCAGACGAGTGGAGTGTCCATACTGGTTCATTCCATAATCTACTTTGCTCTCATTTGTATCTTCTTATTAGCCATCGGTGTCCACATGTATGTTGGCTCTTAATTGTCACTTAATTAAGGCACCAACGTATCATCTCGTCTCAACTTTACTTGTACACTTTAATTAGCTTGTTTGGCTCTGCATCTGGATTTGATCTTGTACTAATGTTTGTTTTTCCTCCCCTTGTTTCGGAGATTTAAATTACTCGTTAGGATCGTTGGTCATTGTTTGTCCCATTGATTTTTAAGCTTGATACACAAACTTAATCAATGGTAGAGTCGAGAATTATGCGAATGTTTAGCGTAGAATTAGCCTAAGTAAGTGATTAAGAATTATAACACACAAGCTTAATTTCATTAGCCTCCATGTTTCTGCTAGGTGAGTTTCTTGCAAAAGCTTTAACTGGGGAACTTCTAAATTGATTAACTAACTATATAAAGTTAATCAAAGGGAAAAAAAATGTGAAATAATCTGCTGATCTCTCAGTTACATGTCGAGATCATGTGTTATTGCTGCTGTGTGAGATCCTTGTTAGCGAGATTTCGTCACGAAAGATTTACATTTATGCAGATTATGGAAGGTAAATGAAAGCATAAAGACCCTTGCAAAATATAAAAGATTGCTATAATTTATTATTTGCACAAAGCAGAATTCAGGAAGGTAACTAGTAAATAGTTAATAAAAGCAAGTAAAACAACAGAATTAACTCCTCCTTTCAGCTGGTGTGCCACAACCACAACGTTTCTTGGATCCTAAGCATGGATGTGAATGTCAAGAATAATAAGAAACAGAATGAGGAGCAAACCATAGATCACGGCGTGCAAGAACATCGACGCGATGCTCGTTTTCATGTTCATGAATTCCAAGGGACGTTCCTTTCCCGGCATCTGAAACACCAATCCCGGCAACAGAAACGCAAACAGCGCGGATGCTATCAGCGGAGCTGCCCAATCTTTCATTGTCAAAACAAGAAGATGTCACAGCAGAAGAACAAGGGAGGAGGAGAAAGAATATAGCAAAAGTATATAAAAAGGAGCTTTGGATGCTTTATAATTTGGATTTAAGCGCTTGAAAGAGGGGAATAAGAATACCTTAGGGCTAGAAATAACATAATTAATCCAGTTTAAGTAGCCTTATCTTTGAGTTTTAAATGCTTTGGTGTTGCATTTGTTGTTAACTTGTTATTGCTTTCTTGGACTTTTGGATAAGGCTTAGCATCATTTTCATTTTCTATTGCTATCAAGGCTATACTGTTACATAACTTATAAGCAGAGAAAATTTGAGTGGGAAGAGATGTTTCACCGAGAGAAATTCTAGAGCGTCGGCAGATCATCTCATCCTTACGATTAACGCACAAAACATCTTATCAAAACCCATTTTTCTACATTTCGATCTCATCCACTGTCGTTTTGGTCCTATGACTCCTATCTAATGAGTTTTGGCTAGTCAATTACATGTTGCGTGTGTTGACTCCAATAATTTATGTATCTGCAGAACATATTTCACAAAATGATGAGATTTGTATTCTAACTGTCTATAAAGATAATATTATTTTGATCTGATAACTTTACCAAAATTTTCTGACCAAACATAATTGTGGTGTTTGCAATTGCAATCAGTAGCAGTCACATTTAACACTTGTTTTAAGTTGAAAGGTTGGCTGTTAAGCGCTTCAATCCCTGTCCAAATCACACCACTAACATATTCAATTCGAATGTCTATATCAGTCTATGCCACCGAAAACCTTAAAGCTTTACAACCCCATTTCAATGTCCTTCAAAGATTAGTCAAAGATATAAAGAACAAAAAAAGAAAGATTAATGCTTTGAACTCAGTGGATGGTGGGTCCCGACTGCAATAATCTACCCTGCAACCCAAACCAGAGAATCCAAACCTTCACTAGTCGGCACCTTCCAGTTCCTTCCCTCCATCTCCACCGCTCGTTGCTTTACAAATTAGAATCACAAATTGCAAAACCGTTTCCAAATACCGAATCCCAAGTGCCACAGGAACCGAAAGCTTGCAACTTTAATCTGAAAACTGATTTTTGAGGAAGCAACAATGGCGGACTGGGGCCCAGTATTGATAGGAGTGGTGCTGTTTATCCTGCTGCAACCGGGGCTGCTCTTCACGTTCCCGGGAAACGGCAAGCAGTTGGAGTTTGGGCGCATGAAGACCAACGGCAAGGCCATCGCTGTCCACACTCTCTTCTTCTTCGTTCTCTATGCCATTCTCATCCTGGTCGTCCACGTCCACATCTATACCGGCTGATCCTGTTACCCTCCGCCGCTCTGAATCTCTGTGTATGTTGGACTGTCTCTCTTCTGGGCTGCCCTGTTGTAACTTAATACTTGTACTATTTGTCTATGAGCTCCATATAAATATAAAGCAGAAAACTTTTCTCTGATTTGGAGAAGAAGAGATGCAGCTGCTTGCTTATGGATTCTGTTCAGTCTGGGATTTGAGAAACCCCTTTTCTATTTTATTTTTTTTAATTCTATTTACCAATTAATTTTGATGCAATTTAATTAGATTTTCCGATTTTTCTGTTTGTTAACTGTTCTAGACCATTGGTCTGAACTTGTTGACTTGATTGTAGGCTAGCCAAGTTCAACTTAAAGTTCGAATCTTTCCCCTCGTGGATTAGATTTAGATTAGATTAGATTAGAATATCGCTCAAACTTTGAATGAGCCAACTAGTGTGGTGGTCTGAACTATTTCTGTAGCTACTCTTTTAGAAGGATATGAATGTCTAAGGTTTTTAATGTAGAAAATCCTTTTGCTAGTAGCTCATATCCGAAATTTGAGAGTCGATCTGTTCCCTCTTAGGCGCTTCATTTTGTTAAGCTTCAGATTGCGTTGATAGAAACTGGTTTTTTAGGGAATTATTATTGGCACTACAAAAATCTCATTCTACACTCCAAACTTTCTATATTTGAAAAGAAAAATACACTTACTTGTGAGGAGTGTAGAATGAGATTTTTAGAGTGCTAATAACACTTCTCGGTTTTTATCTAAAACTTTCACCCTTAGAATGCGTAGATGACAACAATACTCGTTAAAATTGCAAGTCAATTCCATTAAGTTTAGGTTTATTACAATGTACATGATACTTTCCCGGTTTCCCCCCTTTGAGTGTGTATGATACTATAAAACTTAAACATAATGGATCGGAAACTTAGTCAGAGATTAAACTCAGATATGAAACATTAAACTAGGAACACAGTATAAGGGAAGAAGAAAAGCCTAATAAGGAGTTTGCTTACAAAATATGACAGTATTTTGCGATATCAAAGGAAAAGAACAAACAACTCCAATTGTGAGTGGTGGCTGAAAACAATATAGATTAGTTGACATGTATGTGAATACCAATTGCAATGACCAAGATGGTGATTATGCAGAAGTATATGACGGCGTGAACAAGAATAGCAATCCCACTTGTGGACATGTTTCCGAACTCCATCACCCTAGTCCTTGCCGGTAATTGGAATAGCAGCCCGGGCGACAAGAGGATGAACATCACCACTGCAACAACGACCGGCCCCCAATCAGCACTCATCTTTCTCTCCAGGTAAGTTTGAATGGAGGGGTAAGAAAACTTAGAGGCCTCTATCTTTGGAAATAGATAAACAGAGTGTTTGCGATGTTTCCGAATATGTAGAAGGACGAAACCTGAAGGAGAGGTAAGAAAATTTAGAGGCTTCTATATTTGGAAACAGATAAACAGAGTGTTGTGATGTTTCCGAATAAGTAGAAGGACGAAACCTAATATCTTAGCGAAGAAGGAGAGAGGGATGCTAAGCTTAAGTGAGAAAGAAGAGAGTGAGATTAAAAGAGGGGAAAGGTATTAGGAGAAGGTGGTGGATGGCTTTATGGGCATCAAAGCAAAGATGTTTGCTTTCCTAAGCTTCCAATAATTGTTCGTTTAAGAAGCTCTTTTTTTCGCTTTCTCTTTTAGGGATCGATGAAGGTGGAGTGTCTTTACAGAAATGCCATAAAATAATGTGGGAAAATGAAGTGTAAAGTTGTAGTTGGGTTATGCATAATTGCATATGTTTGGAATGCTTTTCTTGTTTGGTTTAACTTTCTAAAGGAAAAGGAAAGACATTGATTTTGGCCAGTTTCTACAGGGAAAAGCTACAATGCATACATCAAGGAATTTATCACAGTGATCCATGTGGTAAAAATAAGGGAACTTTAACGAAAAGCACCCGGTACTGTTCACTTTAACGAAAAACCAAATTTTTACACTAAAAAGTCAATCTTGATACTATTCACTCTACTCTTTATTTTGTCCTTATCATTAAAACTCAAAATTTTCAAGCCTTTTTCATTAGTTTTCCCTAAAAATAAATCATACTCAAGTGGTGAAGCTTGGTATCAATGTTGATCAAAATCGAGATTTTCATCCAAAAGTTGCACACGGGTTCTCGGTTTTGATCAATATTGGTGATAGACTCCATCATATGGGTTTGATTAACGTATTTTGACCACATGGGGCTCACTTTAGGTGAAGATATCCGCCGGGTTGATTGGATAGGGCGGCCCTCACACAGTGAGGATTTTGAAGGCTTTCGTTTTTTGTAACAAAAAAGAAGAAGTGAATTTGTGCCTGTGCTTATGTTATGATCACAATTGAATTTACTTCATTGGGCCTGTGCTTAGGCCCAAGAATAAGTGAATTTGAGCAAGAAACAAGGCCCAAGATCAAATGACGGCCGTCCATATTTTCCAAAAGGAATGAGGATCCTCTTTGTGCGGTTCAGGAGATTCTCTAATTACGTCTGTTGATCATACATCGTATAATGATTTTTTACCGCACGATGTATGATAACGAACATGATTGAAGGATTCTCAGGATTTCAACAAAGAAGATTCGGAGAGTATCCTTATTCTTCCAAAGGTTCAAACAAAAGTGCCACGTAATGCTGCACACGTAATGCTGTCCAATGCGGCAAGGAAGCCGTCCGAGTCCAAAGATACTACCGTCTGCTGATTTCAAAGTTTCTAACCTTCTGCTTCGTCGTGGAGGCCGGCTCACTCTACTTCTTTGTCTCGATTAATTCCCATTTTGTCCCTTTACCGCCATCACTCTCTCCTTTTATGCTCCTTCCTTCCGGTTGCCCTTTCATTTCCACTTCCATCGTACGAGTCATCATCTTCTTTATTATTCTATCTGCTCGGAAACTCGACCTTACTGTGAAATTAGTTAGTTGAGGAATGGCGGATTGGGGGCCGGTTGTGATAGCGGTGGTGCTGTTCGTGTTGTTGACGCCGGGGCTTCTGTTTCAGCTCCCCGGGAACAGCCGGGTGGTGGAGTTCAACAACATGCAGACCAGCGGGGTTTCCATCTTGGTTCACACAATCATTTACTTCGGACTCATCACCATATTCCTCATCGCTATCGGCGTTCACATCTACTTGGGCTAGCTCTGCATGCTATACATCTGCAACATTTACGTTTTCTTGATCCGCCGAAACGTTAATTGTTTTGTGATTTAAGAGTTCGTTGTGTTTGATTAATTTTATCAACATCTGTTGTCTATGAAATTAATTGCCTGTTAATTTGGTTCCAAATTATAACAAAAAAAAGAGATCCACTTCAATTCGGTCCAATCTGGGCTCCGCCTTGCTTGACTCGTGTAGCTGCGGATCGTACTAGGAGAGGTATGGTCGCGGCAAGGCAGACCGTCTGCCCTCCTGTTTGGGTGCCATTTCCATCTTCTCTTATTTGTGCAGTCACAGTTAAGCCATGTCAATATTTTACATTCTTATTACTTTTTGTCTTATTATTTATATAAAAAATTTAATATAAAATGTTGACGTGACTTAACCGTGGCTGCACAAAATAGGAGGAGATGGGAACGGCACCCAAACAGGAAGGCAGACAATTTGCCTCCATGGTCGCGGGCGGTCTTCCCTATGGCATCCTAATCCCAAGTTATGAAGATAGTCAATCGGTTGGTTTTTTCGAATTAGTTAGTTTTGGTTAGTGTTGATTTGTTGTTTGTGCCGCTTTTAGAGGGTGTTGTGTCGCCTAATGAGTGATGTGGTCTCGCCTATCAACAATGACTTTGACGTGATCTCACTTTTCGGCAAGAACATTATGTGCTTCTCAGTACAAGCCCTTGTGTTTTTCGTTTTTTGTGGTAGATTTGTACACTGTTGTAATCACGTAAGGATTGATTCACTACGGTTGTTTATGAAAATTATCAACATACCAATGCATCATTGGTGACTGAACTCTTAATCATAAACCCTAATATGTCCATACTTTATATCGTTTGTTGATTGATGAAATGTCCCTATCCTTTCCGTTCTCGTCACAAAATTCAATTCAATCTGGGGAGGGCTTAGATATTGAGCTGGGCCCACATAGATTATATCATTGATCTAAAATTTATTTGGGCCGTACAATTCTCGTTAATTTTGCTTCTTATTCTTGGGGGGGCATTCATCTCCCCACTATTAACTTTCGAGAACTGTTTATATTTTTTATTTTAATGTGCTTTTAACTATGATTAAAGAAAATGGAACTTTAACGAAAAGTTCCCGATACTGTTCATTTTAACGAAAAACATATTTTTATACAAAAAAATCAATCCTGATACTATTCATTCGTTAAAACTTAAAAATTTTAAGTATTTTTCATTAATTTTTTTTTTTTAAAATGACACGTGACAAGCTCGTAGAGGGGCGATGGACATCCATCAAAATTTAACGGTGGTGGGCAAAACTGGTCATATTCTTAGTAACCCAACAGCCAAACACAAGGGGCGGGTGGGTTTTTATTCTTTATTTTTTTTAGTTGGACCCACTGCGAAAAGGTTCCACTTTCCAACCTATTCAGTCCATCTTATTGGTTGATCGTTTATGTTTTGGACTAAGAGTACGATGTAATTCGTCCGAAAAAGAAAAAAAAGTACGATGCATTCCTTTTTGTTTTATTTTTAAACAAATGGTCCACATAGCTTCTTGGATTGTTTTCTATTCTTTTGCATTTAGATCAATGGTTAGGAAATTAACAATAATTATTTTAATTTAAGAAATGAATTGTTATTAACACTCTACAAATCTTATTTAGCTCTTCAACCTTTCTATAATTAGAAAGAAAAATACATTTGTGAATAGTGTAGAATGTAATTTTTTGAATTGTTATTAGCATTTTAAAAATCTTATTTTGTATTCTAAAATTTCTATAATTAAAAAGAAAAATATACTTGCGAAGAGTTGTAGAATGAGATTTTGAAAGTGCTAATAACAGTTTCATTAATTTATTACACATGTTTAAAAATTTACTATATTTATTGGAGCCAATATTATTTTGGGGACCAAAAGATTCTCTTTAACTCCTTAAAAGAGTCTTGAGAGTGGTGGTAGGGACCTTAAAATGAGGTTTTTCATTGGAGATGCTGTTATATCTCATTCAAAATTGTGATGCTATAAATACTAATTTTTTAAGTGTAATAGTGGACTAACCATATCTTTAATAATGGTAAAATTCATCAATATATATGGATCTCATCTATATTTTATAGATTTTATTTAAAAAAAAACTATATTTTATAAGCGACATGACGTGACGGTTTATGGTAAATTTTTTTTCTTTTTAAACCATATTTCTTTAAATCCTTGAAAGCAAAATTTAATTATAAATCAAAGAAAAACTAACGAAAAATTCTCAAAAAAATTAGTTTAAATCAAAATAACAAAATAAAAGTGTAAGTGAATAGTATCAAAAGTGACATTTTAAATTAAAAATATTATTAACGTTAAAAATGAATAGTACCAAAAATGTTTCATTAAGATTTCCAATCAAAGGAAAACATAAAAATCAAATATTGTGGCGCTACATACAAATTCAAGTCGGGATCCCGTTCATACACGATATATTATACAACACGGTGAGGCGGGTTCCACTCTGCCTTACAATTTCGGTTCTCAAGACATGTCCCCAGAGTTGGTAGACGTGTCACCTCGCCTTATTGCCACGTATACAGTATAGTACATAAGTTGCCCACACCCTAGAAAGTAGTCAAAACAAACGAAGTATGGTGGCCGGAACATCGTCGTCGCTGCTGCAGTTGTTGTTGTTGTTGGAGGTGGTGGTGGTGGTGTGATTAGCGGCGGAAGTGTTCTGCTGAACCGGTTCCTCGTCGGCAGCTCGGTCCCTGATCTGCTGCTCCTTTGCTGCAATCTGAAAAATTAAAGGCCATCAAGTGACTGAGTACTTGTTAATTTTTTTACTTGCTTTTCTATCACAATTTCTTCCTTAATTTCTTCAATATCTCAACGAAATATATAATTATATGTGCTTATATACCTCATTTTCCAAGAGAAGCTTCTCTTCTTTCAGCTGTTTTTCCTGCTCAGATTTAGTGCCATGTATATAATCCACCAAATTCAAATCAAAACTCTCTCAAAATATCTCCACAAATATTTACGCCAACATATCAGTGGCACCAAATTATAAATTCAGTTCATAGAATATATATATATATATATATATATATATATGCGGCACCAGCAGAAACTCAGAGATCAGACAACTGGAATATAAGAAAAATATTATGGCTTGTTTGGTATTCTATTTAAAAACTTTTATAATTTCTCAAAATATTTTTTAAGAACTTTTCTTGAAAACAATTTTCTTTAAGATTCAAAAACTTGTTTGGTATATAAGTTAAAAAATTTACATCTTACAACTTAAACTGAACAAAAAGATCTAAAAAGAGGGGATTGATGGAGAAAGAGGAGAAATGAGAAATGAAAGTAGGAGATGATTGGTTGAAAGAGAAAGAAGAAAGGATCAGAGGAGATAGAGAGGAAGATGAGTGAGGAAAACTGAGAGAATGAAGAGAGCGGATTGAAGAATAGACGAAAAAGGTAAAAAATAAAAAGAGAAAGGGGGTTGAGAAAGAAGAAAAAAGAAATAGATTTGGAGTGAGAGGGGAGGAGGGAGAGAAAAGAAATGAGAGTTTAAGTTTAAAAACTCTAAAACTTGAAAATTATTTTTGAATTTAAAAAGTTGTATTCAAGTAGAGTATCAAAAAGACCCTTAGTATCAATATAGTTGATCTTAATCTACACTTTCCCCTCCCCTTCTCCCAAACCACATAAAAATGAAGCAACATAAATGCAAGTCCCTGCACGAATTGTGAGTTCGAGGGAGGGCATATCCACAGTACACATGGACCGCTCATCGGCACATGTGTAACGTGACTATGCCCTCAAACAGATTGCAATTGGCGCTCCCATTAGCTAGAATTGCAAATTCAAGACAGTACTAGTATACCAAAACTGCACGGTAAAACCCCCACCCCTTCAATCTCCACTTAAACAGAGCATATATCTTGGTAATTAATGACAACACTCTTCAAACAGAAAACACTTTCTGTTCAAAGTCGAAGGTTGATGATGCCATATAGATAGAATGTGTACCTGCTCGATAAGAGCTGTAAGGGTTTCCATCATCAGCTGTGTCTGCATTATCAACAGCACTCAAGTGAGTTTTTACCACCAATCTATCAGACTTACCGTACTTCCAATACACGACGCAAATTATATAAACGCTTCGTGTATCTGTTACTATTGTGCGTTTATTTCAATGATAGTCAAGTGACTCGAAAGCCCTTTTTTTTCTTTTCTTCGTAATCCTAGTTGTTTATGGGACAGGAACAGAGCACCATCTAAGAAGAACCACTAAAGTATACAAGCATTTACATTTTACAGACCAAAATTAGGATGGCCAAATTGTTCTCTGCCATTTATTCAGAATTTATATTAGTGCACATATCTGTTAGTCTCTGGAATTACTGAAATTATCAAATATCACTAAAACTTGTGTCATAAAATTGCAGTTCAATGGATGAATCATATATTTTGTGGTTTAAATTTCACCCCAAACCTGAAGAAATACCTTGATATCATGGAAACAACAGAACTTACCACTAACACAATTGTTGATCACCGACGCAATCCCAGCTAGAAAAGGAAACTATATATGCAGGTCTATATTCCGAAAAATAGGTACTTAACTTAATTGAAATGCAGGTTTATATTCCGATTCCAGAAACTATATATGCAGGTTTATATTCCGATTCCAGGTACTTAATTGAAATGCAGGTTTATATTCCAAAACCAGAAACTATATATGCAGGTTTATATCCGAAACCAGTCTAAGTGAAACTTTTAGGTTCTTTTTCCATGAGCTGTCACAGCAAACCAGAATATGAACTAGTTAACGATGGTCTATATAAGAATAAAAGAAGATTAATAAACCTTTCTTGATCTTGTTTGTCTTAAAACTGCATCCAATTCCTCCTCAAGCTTGGTGAGCTCTGGAACATCTAGATTATCGAGGTCTTGTGCTTCTATATCACTGCATAAAGGCAATCAGATCCCAGTCACGTTGGTGAAATGTAATGAAGCTTCTGTACATGATACTTACCTTTGAATCATTTTCAGAGATC